AAGAAGCCGCTGGTGATGAGCGAGCTTGGCTGTGCGGACGGCTGCGGACGGCAAATAGATACAGAGAGTTGCGGTGCCAGGGAGTGGCTGGAAATGGGTGGGGAGAAGAAGATCAGCGAGCTTGGCTGCGCGGACGGCTGCGGATGGGAAATGGGTGCGGACAACTGCGCGGACGGCTGCGGACGGCGTGGGTGCAACGGAGTGGCTGGAAAGTGGGTGGGGAGAAGAAGCCGCTGGTGATGAGGGAGCTTGGCTGCGCGGACGGCTGCGGACGGCAAATGGGTGGGGAGAATTGCGCGAACGGCTGCGGACGGCGTGGGTGCAAGGGAGTGGTTGGAAATGGGGAGAAGAAGCCGCTGGAGATGAGCGAGCTTGGCTGCGCGGACGGCTGCGGACGGCAAATAGATACAGAGAGTTGCGGTGCCAGGGAGTGGCTGGAAATGGGTGGGGAGAAGAAGATCAGCGAGCTTGGCTGCGCGGACGGCTGCGGACGGGAAATGGGTGCGGAGAATTGCGCAGACGGCTGCGGACAGCGTGGGGGGTGGCTGGAAATGGGTGGGGAGAAGAAGCCGCTGGTGATAATGAGCGAGCTTGGCTGCGCGGACGGCTGCCGACGGAATATGAAATGGGTGCGGAGAACTGCGCGGACGGCTGCGGACGGCGTGGGTGCAAGGGAGTGGCTGGAAATGGGTGGGGAGAAGAAGCCGCTGGAGATCTGCGAGCTTGGCTGCGCGGACGGCTGCGGACGGCAAATGGGTGGGGAGAATTGCGCAGACGGCTGCGGACGGCGTGGGCGCCAGGGGGTGGCTGGAAATGGCTGGGGAGAAGAAGCCGCTGGAGATCAGCGAGCTTGGCTGCGGACGGCTGCGGACGGCCTGGGTGCAACGGAGTGGCTGGAAATGGGTGGGGAGAAGAAGCCACTGGTGATGAGCGAGCTTGGCTGCACGGACGGCTGCGGATGGGAAATGGGTTCGGAGAATCGCGCGGACGGCTGCGGACGGCGTGGGTGCAACGGAGTGGCTGGAAATGGATGGGAAAAGAAGAAGCCGCTGGAGATCAGCGAGCTTGGCTGCGCGGACGGCTGCGGACGGCAAATGGGTGGATATAGAATTGCGCGGACGGCTGCGGACGGCGTGGGCGCCAGGGAGTGGCTGGAAATGGGGGGAGAAGAAGCCGCTGGAGATCAGCGAGCTTGGCTGCGCGGACGGCTGCGGACGGCAAATGGGTTTGGAGAATTGCGCGGACGGCTGCGGACGGCGTGGGTGCAAGGGAGTGGCTGGAAATGGGTGGGGAGCAGAAGCCGCTGGAGATCAGAGCTTGGCTGCGCGGACGGCTGCGGACGGCAAATGGGTGGATATAGAATTGCGCGGACGGCTGCGGACGGCGTGGGTGGCAGGGAGTGGCTGGAAATGGATGGGGAGAAGAAGCCGCTGGAGATCAGCGAGCTTGGCTGCGAGGACAGCGGACGGGAAATGGGTGCGGAGAATTGCGCGGACAGCTGCGGACGGCGTGGGTGCAATGGAGTGGCTGGAAATGGGTGCGAAGAAGAAGCCGCTGGAGATCAGCGAGCTTGGCTGCGCGGACGGCTGCGGACGGCAAATGGGTGGATATAGAATTGCGCGGACGGCTGCGGACGGTGTGGGTGCCAGGGAGTGGCTGGAAATGGGTGGGGAGAAGAAGCCGCTGGAGATCAGCGAGCTTGGCTGCGCGGACGGTTGCGGACGGGAAATGGGTGGATATAGAATTGCGCGGACGGCTGCGGACGGCGTGGGTGCAAGGGAGTGGCTGGAAATGGGTGGGGAGAAGAAGCCGCTGGAGATCAGCGAGCTTGGCTGCGGTTGCGGACGGGAAATGGGTGCGGAGAATTGCGCGGACGGCTGCGGACAGCGTGGGTGCAAGGGAGTGGCTGGAAATGGGTGGGGAGAAGAAGCCGCTGGTGATGAGCGAGCTTGGCTGCGCGGACGGCTGCGGACGGGAAATGGGTGCGGAGAATTCCGCAGACGGCTGCGGACGGCGTGGGTGCCAGGGAGTGGCTGGAAATGGATGGGAAAAGAAGAAGGCGCTGGTGATGAGCGAGCTTGGCTGCGCGGACGGCTGCGGACGGGAAATGGGTGCTGAGAATTGCGCACACGACTGCTGGCTGGAAATGGTTGGGGAGAAGAAGCCGCTGGGGATGAGCGAGCGTGGCTGCGCGGACGGCCGCGGACGGCAAATGGATGGGGAGAATTGCGCGGATGGCTGCGGACGGCGCGGGTGCAAGGGATTGGCTGGAAATCGGTGGGAGACTTGGAGGGTCAGCCTGGTTAGTAAGTACTTATGATATTTACTATGTACTTAAGGCACTTAGTAAGTACTTACTCCACTTAGGCTAAGTTAGATAGCACACTTAGCTTTGAACCACTTAGCGGACTTAGCTAAGTGTACTTAGCGTACTTAGGCTAAGTGGGCTAAGTCACTTAGACAGCTTCAAACCTAAGTCCCCTAAGTGACTTATATGTACATGTAACCAAGTATTTTTGATGGTTTATAATGAAAAAAGGTGACGAAAAAAGAGAGCATTCCGCCAAAAAAATAAACATGCAACGAAATTTTATCTCGCAAGTAATGTGAAAAAGGGTGATACATTATCTTTTTGCTGGGTCGGTTGAATTCATGACCGTGCTCAAAGTCATGCATGTTTTCCCAGCAAACCTGCGAGCACAGTGCCCGCTAGGTCAGGCCAGCGAGCCAAGCCCGACTGTGGCCTTTTCAACCCTTGGTATTTTCAAGTAATAAAATAAAACAATGCAATAAGGAAAATGTCATCAATAGATTGATCAGCACATGTTTTGTAGCTATATACCAGCCAACATATCCACAAGTCATATACCCACATGCCTGCATGTAAACCAAACATGTATCATTATAACAAGGCCAGCAGGTCTATTTTCAACACATGTGAAATATCCATCCATATCAACAACGTCGCCACGATCTGCAGAGCAAAATAACAACAAAGTCGATGGACACGATGAAGCACCTGCTGGAGAGACAAGGGGCAACAAAGGGGTGTGTGGTTGGCTATAACTTTCAAACGATATAATATCCTAAGTAATTTGGACCTCACCCACGGTTATTGTGACATTATATATGGGACTCTTACTTCAGATATATATAAATATATTTATAGATGTGTGTATTCATGATAAACGCATCCCTCAAACCCATGTATAAATAGTAATCTTTACAAGGTTGCATGGCCATGTACCAAAAAACGCACAGATGCTCCTTTTGTCTATTCCGGCGATTCCCTTTTGGGATCTGATTTTTGTCCAGAGACGTCTCTAGAAAGGGGCAATTATATGCCACGACCGGTTAGATTTCGCAACTTTTTGCGACATCAAAACCAAAAAACATTTTCAAAACCCCAGTCTGCCGGCTCACCATAGCCTTCCAAGTGCCACTTTCCGGACACGTCAGCTTCGCCTTCATGAGCCGCATCCGGTTCTTCTGGCGGGACGTCCATGATTGCAAGCATGGGCTGCATGGGTCGACCAAGCGGATCGTCCTGCGTTGGCACTTCAGGTGCAGGTGACCCTTGCCACGGGGAATAGCGCAACTGCAAGCTTCGCATGCCACATGTCCCGGTCCACTGGCCCTTGCAATGGTGAGAAAAGTTTGAATCGCCCAGACTTTTAAACACAATGGCCATATAGCATGCAGAAACCAAACAACATGAATCAACAGAAGGCATGACATACCAAAGGCTTTTGTGCAGTATGTATGTGGTTGGATCATCGAAACAAACACATGATATAGGACCCCAAGCGAAAAAGAAAAACTGAAAGGAAAAAACAACTCTAAGTTCATAGAAAGAACTGAAAAACATCAAGTTCATCACCAAGACACAGCACCATGGTATTCAAAGGTCAAGTCCAGCAGCTTTGCCTCCAGGCAGCAAGCGAATTTCTTTAGTTTCAAAGTAGTGCCGCTGCTTTCCCAAGTTCCGACTGCGCCAAAGGCACGCTTCTTCGTCCTGCATGCAGGGGACGACAACAAATCATGGAAAACTGACATCATATTAAATATATATATATGTACATACTTTTGTGGTTGCTATTTTAATCTCATATTTAAGGATCAAATCAAACATTTCCAAAGTCCCACAGCTGAAACAGAAAAAACATAACACATGCCAAGGCAACTTCGTGAGGCGAAGGAACCCAATGGTGCCAAAATGGCAACGCGGCTCCACCATGGGCATCTTGTTCCCGTTGCCTTTGCGCGGGGAGGTGTCAGATAATGGCTTAAGGAGCAGCCACTCGTAGGGCCTTTTGCTGCCATGGTGGCACCATTTGAAAATGGCGCATGATTCTATGGCACCCCAAACTTCGTGAGCTGGGGTGACTAAGAACTGCTGCATCCACATGTGGTCCTGCATGGCGCACGGCAGCTGCTTGCAAGGTGACCTCAAAACTGGTTTGGCCCAAATGGCTTGCAAACATTATACATGGCTTGATCATGCAGTGCATGCATGTCATGCGAACCATGCATGCATGTTCAGTTCTGCATGCATGAACCTCATACCAAAAAACGGCTTTATGTAAGCGAAGTCAAAATGAACATGTGTTTGGCATGTTGATACCACATGTGGCAAAGTGCACATATTGCGAGCCATGCCCGCAAAGGACGTGTCGGCGAGCATTGCCACGCCAGCACAATGCTATTAAGTCGCCAAAACTTTCACATCGAAGCAATCACGGACGTGTATATCCACAAAGCATGAAACAAAAAACAAAAATCGAAGGTGCACCTCTGTCTGCAGGGCGATCGCATGAATTGGCCTGTGGGCAGAAGCAGAAACTGAACAGAAACTGAACTGCAGGCATGCACTTTCTTTTGGCACAGCGCTAAATGCGGGCTCTGTTCAAAAACCGTGGCTCACGAAAAGCTATGCATAAAGCCATGCCTTTCAAGACCTCCAGTCTTGAGGCTGCAGACATCTATATACCATCCGCCGACTATGCCTTCACAGCTGCATCCTCAGCAACCACCAAAGTTGGCAACTCATGGCACGGCACCTCCTCATTGGGCTGATCATGAGAAGCAGGTGCGGAAGCACTGCCCGCAGACGAAGCAGCACACGGCATTGCGGGCATGTCTGCACCTTCATCACCTTCCAAGTTCTGAGCCCATGGGCTGCCAGGTGACACCGTTGGAGTCAAATCCATATTGATGCGGCGCTGGTATATGCTCTTCCAGCGCAAGTGGTCACGAGTCGCAGGAGACGCATCTCCCATCTCTGCAGCGCTTCTTTTGGCACCATGGCGAAGCACATCCTCCATCCGCCACTCAGGTACATCTGGAAGCAAAACCTGCTTCAGCTCACAGAGCTGCTTCTGGAGCTTGGCCAGTTCCAGTTGGCACACTGACAAGCTGGACTTGGCTTCTATCAGGGTCACCAAGCTATCCAGCAAGAGGTTGTAACATGCACCTGTTTGCGCAGCGTCAAGGGGGCGAAGGCCATTGCGCTCTTCGATCGCCTTCCTGCAGATCTCGACTTCCTCCATTGCGTGCTGGAGAGGCTTTATATGATGCTTTTGAGCCAACAGCTTTGGCACAGGAACAAACAAAGTCTCGGAGCTCATATGCTTCCAAGCATATAAGGGCTTCAAACCATGAGTCCACCAAAACGGCCCTATATTGCTCCAAGTCCAAAGGTCTCTTTCTTAGCCGTGAGTATGTGCTCTTCAGCCCTGTATACAGCTAGTGCATGGGCTATATTGCCATGCGTATACAAACCTTTTTCCGATACGAAGGAGACAAAAGCAACAACGTATCTATATATGTATATATATATAGATAGATATAGATATAGATATGGAAAACATGCATGAAGTTACACACGGTCACTTTCCAGTATCGAAAAAACTGGCTGGAGCCACAAGAATGTGGTCATTTTCGAGCATCTTGTACACCAATGCCCCCCGAATGCGAGAAGTCTCTACAAGGGCATCTTGATCCAGCAAAGGCCGAAATCGATTCGTGGAAACCTTCGCAAAGATTTGAACATAAGTGAAAGCATGTTCCAAATATCGGAGATGAAAATGAACCCGTGCAATGGCAGGAGGGTCTGCCAAAGCAACGATGTCGTCGCTTTGGCAACGAGACGCAATTCTTGAAACCAAAAGCGGCGAGACCAGAAATGGAAGGCCAAAGAGAATGCGAAATGAACTGCTCAGTGTTTCACTTGCGGGCTTGAAAGCATTCTGCTCCACCGCATTCAAATCATGAAAGTGCGTCAGCAGCACCTCTCTCAGAACAGAGCGCTCCATGCTTTGATGCCCTGAATGCTGCTGATCAGCCCACCTGCAGACATTGCTTCAGACAAAACAAAAGGCAACATGATTCATCATGCAAATCCAAACTGATGTCCTGGACTACATGATGTAATCTTTGGAGATGCAATGCTTGAAAGCAAAGTGTCTCTGCGAACCTCTTCAAAATCTTGTGGCGCCTTTCATGGACAAAGCAGCTGATGAGCAGCTCATGAAGTTCCAGCTGCTGGCCCAAATGAATGGCCAAATGATGCTTCGGTAAGTAGTGCTGCTCTCCGTAACTAGCCTCAGAAGGGCACAAAGGTTAAACTGTGAACTGCGGTATATACTGCATGCATATAGCAAGAACGATCAAACACTTCGAGGAGCCTTGAAACTTGTCAAGTGCGCTTCAATTTGGTTTGCGAAGACAGCGGGGGCAATGGCGCCAACAGCAGCTGCTTTCAACGAGTCCAGAACTTCTGCCAATCTGTAGTAGGACTCGATGGCTTGCCGCAGAGGCTCACTGGGTTGCTCCACTTGATGGACCAAAAATGCCCTCAGCACTGGATACAATGCCAACGCTTCACTTGCTCCGCATTTGAATTCTGCATCTGGTTCCTTTTTCTTTTTGAAAGAATTCTTCGCAGGACAGGATGCTCCACCGTGAATCATTGGCCAAATGAAACTTGAACAAAAGTCATGCAGGGAAGGTTGCCTGTAACCATCGGCTGCAAGAACATTCATCAACAGAGATACTTCGCGATGCCATATGCCTGCGACTAAGTAGACGTGCATCGGGTCGAAGCACGTCTGAGAGATCGGCCGCACAATTGCTCTCAAATCATGGTCGAGTAGCACGCCATGCGGCGTATAGTTGAAACCTAGCCGTGTCTCAAGATCGCTAAACTCTTTCTTGGACCGTCCGGCCATATACGCAGCATGCAGATGGTCCACGACTTGCCAAATGCTACGGTCCGTGTGCAGAACAAGCTTTGAATGGTCCACTTCCGTGTGTGGCACTAACATGCCTAGCACAGCTGGCGCATATCTCTTCTGAATTGTCGTCTGGCAGAAGAGACACAACATCTTTCCTGCAGCCCCTTTGTTCTCGAAGGCATGTTTGATGGCAGCCTCATCTGCAACGATGTAGCCAAGCGAAAATGCCATCACCCGGTCCAACCCATTGATTTGCAATGAAATTCCGGCTGAAAGGTTTCCAGACTCACAAAAAAAGGCTTTGATCCAGAGCTTAAACAGCTGGGTCAGTCCATCCTTCAGCTGGTTGACCAAGTCTGTGCGGACACAAGCAAGAAAGCATGCTCTTGACTGAGGTTGTAACCGCCGAATTCCTGGATGGAAAAGTAGCAAGCCTGAAGTTTTCTTCTGTTGTGAACTTTAAGCTGGTTACCTGGACTTACTTCGTCCAGGTAGACAGCCAACTTCCACTTGCTGTTGAGGCTATTCTCATGCTTGGCCGCAGCAGAGTCCAGGAACTCACGCATGCGATGGCATGTCCGAGATGTATGCCACAAGAGAGCTGCAGGAGAACAGTAGGGAATCTCAATGAATGTCCCTTCCAAGGTTTCAGCTTTCATCATCTGGATCAATGGGCCATAAGGCGTTTCAATGGATACCGCATCCTCCCGCCTTCTTTTCACTGTGGCCTATGAAGTTGCTTCCGGGATCTGTCCGGTCTTCTTGATCGCTGTCAACACTTCCGACAGACCACTTTGCGATATAAAGGTCTTCCGACCTAACGCAGCGACATCAAGAGCCATATATAATAGAATGGTAGATCAAGAACCCAGGGCGAGCATTGCCCGTGCCCCTGCAGCAAAGCGAGCCATGCACCGCAAAGCTATATGCTGGACATCGCGCTTCAGGTTCACATCCAAACATATGTGCAACTACATATGGGCCCCAAAGCTTCAAAACACATTACATCTTCCCCCTTGCAATCCATGAGCATTGGAAGCTGTATGAATCGATATCTAAATGTATACAATGAAAGTATATATCTATAATATATTTATATATATGTATATGTATGTTCATGCAATTATATATTTTATACAACGGCTGCTGCAGAGACGATGCACCTCTGCATGGAGCCAAAGGGTCGTGCGTGACACTTAAAGAAACCAACCGCAGCAGGGCAGTGCTCGCGGTCTTTTTCCCCCGACGATGGCAGCGTGAGTCTGCGCATCTACCCTTCAAAGCCACCTTCAGTGGCCGAAGTCAAAGTTCGAAACATCGTGCCCTCTGGGCTGATGTAGTGCCTGTCTTTCTGGCCCGAATCTCTCACACGCTCATCGATCCTCCAGCCCTTTTTGCACTGAATGATAGTCTTTGGCTTCAGCCCCTTGCCACCAGAGTTCCCCTTGCCGGTAGCCTTGCCATGACCTGCACCACCTCCCTTGGCAATGGACTTAATCGTTGCCTTTGCCTTTGCCTTTGCCTTGGGCTTAGCTTTGCCCGAGCACTTCGAGCTGGACTTTGCCTTGACTTTAGGCTTCCCCGCAATGGCCGCAGCTGGCTTTTTCATTGAAGGTTGATTTTCAGGCAAGCTCAACAAGACTGCATCGGCTTGCGGCTGCGCTTCATGGGCTGGTGCTTGTTCAGCGGTAGAATCTTCTGGCCCTTTGGACGGTCCAGGAGGGACATTCTGATCCGCAGGGGGCGCGTCCTTAAGGGCCGCAGGTTGACCCCCTCCACTCTGCGGTCCATCCTCCAACATCTTTTGCTTTTTGGTGAGCTGGATGTTTGCTTTGTTCGGGTTGGCGCTGCCACCATGCATCATCATCTGCATCATCATGGCACCCATACGGGCCCACATCTCTTGAGACTGGTCTCCATGCGGAGGCGAAGGTGCAGCATCAGGCCCATGGAATGTCAAGGCCTTTGGGTTTATTGACCCACCGACTCTTGACTTGTCAACATTCCTTCCACTGATACGCAAGGTCACACCCTGCTTCAAGGCTTCAGTCGCGTCAAGCTCATGTGGAGGGTCCTCTGCGGTGTAAGCAGTGGAAAACCATTCCAAGTCTTGGGGCTTGGGCGGAAATCTGACCAAGTGGCGCGGCACAACAACTGGCTTCTTTCTGAGCATCTGCTTCATTTGCCGCAGAAAAGCTACAGAAGTTGTTTCATCAGGAAGTTGAAGTCCTGCAACCGAGGCAGTTTGGAGGATCGTGCGCCAACTCTGTTCATGAGGCAAGTTGCAGCCAACTTTCACCAGTTGATCTACGATACCTTGGCGATGGCAGCGGCACTGAAATAGACAAAGGGGGATGTCAACATGCCCTACATTGCCCTATACATTCTCTATAGGAGTTTAGTTAACGAAACATGCTCTAAAGTACATGCAGTTAAGATGCACTCGAGTTTCGGCAGCACGGGTGTCTCTGCATCGCTGAGTACTTTGACATCGTGCTTGGAAAAGTATTGGTGGAATGCAGTCACCACTTGGCTGTCACGCTTCTTGGATTGACCGCCCGGGGATGACTGGAGCAGAATGTCTGAAGCCCAGTTGCCCAGCTGCAACTTCTGGTCGTCTGTCCACGGTCCAGTACTGATGAGGTCACTAAACTTGGTTGCACCTTCTGCGTTGGTGGTGAGGTTGGAGCGCGATGTGATCTGCTTCACATGTGCAGCCATGCATTCTGCAAGGTTCTTTTTGTCAACAACCTTCTTCTGGTTATCAATAAACCCTTGCAATTGCGCAATCTCTGAGAGGAAGGCTTCCCAAGTAGTCGCCATGAAGAGGTGGATGGCCCGATCAGCCAACAGAAACACGCTTTACACGAGGCTGAGCCATGACAGTCCAAGTTTACAGGCGTGAGTTTGAGAACAATGCGTCAACAAATCGATGCAAACTAACTACAGGAAACAACTGTGGGTATTAAACTGTGACCGGTTTAAGCCCTGGCAAACATGCCACACTATGATTGCAAACGCTGAAGCAGCTTGGGCTAAGCTCGCTGCTTGCACCATTGACGGGTTACACTCGCAGGTGCATGGCGTCAGTTTTTGACACCGCAAGAAAGGCTACCCTTGGAAACTATAGCTACAGAAACTATCCAGGTAATAGATCAGTCATTGGCCTCTGCCTCACCAACATCATCTTCTTCAGGTTCTTCTTGACAGCGCCTCCGCTGTGGTGTCAGTGACCCTCCCTTTCTCTTTTTGCGCCGTTTCTTTTTGGGCGATGCAATCTCTGCGTCAGGGCTGTTCCGGATCGCGGTGATCACCTGCAGGACCGTTTGGGTATCCAAGCGAAAGAAAAGGTCTCCTTTCACTGCAAAGGTGGTCAACACCTTGGTGCCCTCGAGCTCAACCTCGATGGCGCCGCCCTTCACGAAGAATTGATCGCCATTATGTGCAGCTCGGAATTTCTGGTTGTCTGGCACGACCTCTCCGGCTGCTTCCATGGCATGCCGCTGCACTTGCGCGTAGGCTTCATTGCACGCTTCACGCCTAGCAACTTGCATATTATGCCAGAACTGCTTCTTGCTCATGCCGTTTGATTTGTTGACGTGCCTGTTCATACCACGTCCAGTGGTCAATTTTGTCAAGACCCTGTCATACTTGCTGACATTGAAGAAGGTCTGGCCCTGGACAACCTGGGTGGTTGGATACCATACAGTCTTTCCAACCCGTATGGCATGGACCTGGGCGATGGAGATGGCATCTTCTACAATCTCATCATCATCATCATTTTCCTCTGCAGACGCCATGCGAGATGCAGGCAAACGATGGCTTATAAGTTCAAAGTGTTGTTTCTGTTGGAATGCAAGCCTGATGTAATACTAAGTTCATTCAAGTTGTTGTTGTGCATGTGTACTCATGGGAACATCATGGAGCATGCGAGCTGGGCCCGTCAATGCCACAAACGCGAGCACAGCCCGCAGTTTTTTTTGCTGAAAAGCTACAAAAGCACATGGTGTCATTGTGAACGTGAAGTAATACATGGTTGTGAGGTGAAGGTGATACATGGTTGTGTGGTACATTTTGTAACTGCAAGGCTCAGAATATCCATGTGAGAACCTTGGCAGTTGGCTTCTCATGGCGCGCCTATTGCCCACCTGCAGTTGAAGATGGTGATGCACATAGTCCTGCAGCAGGGGCAGATCGGGTGTGTTGAACCGACATCATGCTTGGGAATTAGACTTGACCATCCAGATTCATAGAACTATACAGCCTTAAAAATGGTGGTTGGATTGATTTTTTTTACCATCCATCTAGGAACCACGACCTTTGACCTGATCATTGCAATCTTCAAAGTAGATGTAGTTGATGTCTAATCTCAAAAAATATTTTCATAGTTTTGGGAATCTTTGAATTTTGCATTTTTGTGATTTCACAAAATGGCACTATGCAATTTTGTGAAATCACAAAATGGCAATGTGCCATTTTGTGATTTCACAATTCTTCAAAATTAACAATTTTGGATTTTTGTGATTGCACAAAATGGCACAGTGCCATTTTGTGAAATCACAAAATGGCACCCTGCCATTTTGTGAAATCACAAAAATGCAAAATCTATTGTGATTTGCCTGAACCTGAAAATAACTAAGGAGGGGGGAACTCTCGCCAATTTTTTCCGGCAACTTTTTTGAAAATTAAGTTCCAAAACTGACCAGACCTGAATTTCCGTGGTTGGCCCATCTGGAAAACCAAGCAACAGTCATCGTTTTTTCAACATGTTGGATCATCATTTTTTGGCATCCATTTAGTAACGGTTTATGTTTTTTCCCTACTTGGGGCAATTTCAGAAACCGATTCAAGCAGCTTGCAACCTCATCCACCCATGAATCTCCCACCCAGCACTCACACCGTGATATCCTGTTTTTTTTCTCACGCTGTGATGTTTGCGGAGGAAATCTTGAGGCCATGCATAGGCTTCCACAACAAAGCACTGAGATGAAATCTTGATATGACAATGTCAAACTGCAAAATTAAAACCAACAACAATTTGGTCGAATGAGTGCAGCTTGCATTCCCAAAATCATAACATAATATTCTGCCATGGTAGCCCCTGTACGTTTTGAAATTCAGGTCGCCATGTGATCACGATAGTTCACGCGACATTCTGCTGTTGAAGCCTTATACTGCAAACATTCAGTTGATATTCCAACCAACCTTTCTCACAGATCCTTATGAAAAAACTGTTGCAACATCTCTTGACGGCTTCAACAGTGCATGCATGGAAACCCACAAGTGACCGGGACCAGTGCAAAGTAACAAAACATGATCTTTTCTTTGATGGTAGTATAGGTACCTCTGTGCAACCATTTGTTGAAACGATGCTACTTGGTACATGACAAATACTATACACTTCAATGAGTTCCCATGCGCCATCGGCCAGTAAACCTGAAGATTCAGGCAATGAAGCCACATCACAATGATCAAACTATTCAACATTATGTTGCATCAATATATATAAAGCTGAGGTTTCATCCATATAACACAAATTATAAGCTGGTTTGGTTTTCGTAGCTGTCACTGCCTCTATGATGGTGGCTGGCCAATTGAAATAAGAGCCAGTGAAACGCGCCCTTATAGGAAACACTGAAGCACGCATGATGAGTTGGAACGCCCATGAAGCTGAGTGCAGCTGGCAACTGCCACATTGTGAGCATGATATAATATGTTGCATGTTGATTTGTGTTTACATTGTTTTTGCAACAGTGTTTGCTGGGCACATTGCGCCTGCTGATCCAGCCGATTCTGCATCGGACATGGTTAAATATGGTTATTTCATGAAGTTTTAAGTTATATAAGGTGTGTTAAGGTATATGGGTATGGGTCAATACCCATAGATACATTTTTAGTGGGATGAACATCCATTTACCAGCTATTTTGGGGTTCACCAGGGTTTTGACCCATCCCCATATATATTTCTTAAGGGCTGGATCAGCTATAGCGTTTCGACCATGCCCTGGAGATCACAGGACACTCTCCAGCGATCTAGCCAGAGAGCCCATGATCTCCAGGGCATGGTCGATACGCTCCCCCTGCTCTTGCCGCTCCATGGCCAGCTGGCGATTTGCCTGGGCCCTTTGGTACTTCCAGCCTCCACGCCTTCGGTTGCTTGCATCTCTGATGCGCTTCTGCCTTGGAGCGGCCAAGGGCATGAAAACACATATCACCCCCATGATGTCTCAACACTGTGAACTGCACCTAAACTATGCATACTTCAAAAGCATATCCAACAAGATGAGATTTGGGAAGTAGAATGTAAACCAACTTCGCTAGAACTTTCACTGAAGGCACGCCGGGAACACCTACATGTTGTTATAATGTAATATGTCCATGCTGTGTCCAATAAGAAAATACAAACAACAAAGGTAGTAAAGGTGAAGGCCAACGACTGTGTTGCCTTGAAGTATTGCAATAGTATTGCCTGCGAGCATAGCCCGCAAAGGCAGTGCAGCGAGCAAGGCCCGCCTGCACCCTTCGACAAATATATAGTTTCTGAGAATTTTGGGTCTATAGTCTATCCATTGCAAAGAAAAATAACTACCAAACAAAAACGACCATGCTGAAAAGGACAAGATTCGGCTGGTTCTCGCCATCCTTGTGCCACTCCATGGACCAGCTGACCTCTCGGTTCCTTGGAATCGCAAGCATGGGTCGCTGGTTGCATGCATGCATAGAAAATTTTTCATGTTCATAACATGGTCTGCCCTGCAAGGACCATGGATTCTGAAGTTAAAAAAACCTTCTCACTGGTTTGCTGCCCTGAACAAAGTATATAGACCTTTGCTAAATGACTGCTGTATAAAAAATATATAGTGGCAAAAACTTAAATATACAAAGTATGCAGCCTAGAATCGCGCTCCATCCATCTGACTCAACCGTCTGCGACATGCTTGCATGCCAGTTGGCGCCATCTGCATGCCACGCGGTCTGGCCGTCACTGGCATCTCCATGCTGCCAGCTGGTCTGCCAGGAGCCATCAGCATTGTGCTGCATCATTGCAGCAGGGGTCTTCCAGCCATGCTGCCAGGTCTGCCAGGAGCCATCTGCATCGTGCTGAGCAGGGGTCTTCCAGCTCGAGCTGGGAGAGCTGCAGCTCTCATCGTCCACTGTGACCACGTCCACATGCTTCGGCGGCGGCTGCCCTTTCGGGTGTGCAGGGCGAGGTCTTGGCATGGCCTTGACCTTTATCTTCACTGCAGCAGTTGGTACTGGCGGTGGCGGTGGTGGTGGTGGTATATGCGGTGGTGGTGGTGGTGGTGCAGGAAGCTCGCTGCCACCACCACCACCTTCATGCGCTGCATCGGCTGCTTTCGGTCCATCAGCCGAGGCTACATCAGCTGCTTCCGAGGCATCAGCCGAGGCACCACCGGCAGTCGATGCATCAGCACTGGATGCAGGCGCAGCATCCATCGCCACCGCCTCTGCTAAGTTCCCATCGATGAACTTCTGCAGGAAGCTTCCCGGGACGTAGCCTGCATGCAGAAGCGTTGAAACAAATTGCCAAACCCGCAATGAGTGAAGTAAATATGTTTATTGCACCGTCCAACATGCAATGAGTGAAGTGTATGGTTATATTGTCCGTCCAAAAAAACTGCGTTTGAAACATAAGTGCTTCCCTTTCTTTGGACCGCGCCTTCTGGGACAGCAACGTCCTCGAGCACCTTCGAAGCAGAGCCGCGAACTGGCAAGCGGTCCACCTTCGAAGCTTCCACGGTTTCCATCACGTTGCCCAACAGGTCACGGAGAAGTACAAACAACATTTGTTGGAGTGAACTGTAGGGCAATGCATGTTTGATGTTTTAAGAACATGTAGCGGTATACTGTTACCAATTAAATTGTATACAGGTTTTCCCCAAAGGGAAAATGGGGAATGAATCTATATCGGCGACCCTGCTATATGATACCGTGCGTCAAGGTGGGTAGATTACTATATATATAAATAAACCATAGAACAAGTGACAATTGACCTATATACACACAAGAAAAGGTGCCGACATGTCGCTGTCTTCATGACATGCGCTGAAGCCAGGAGGAATGCAGCAGTTTGTGAACATGTCATGGTCTCATGCCTGCAACTTGCATCAATAAAATTGGAATTTCTTTCAAGGGATGGATGATGCTGATCTCTTCTTCATTAATTTTATCCTCTTGTTTTTTCAATCCAAATTTCATGGTACCTTCGAACCTCACCAGCCCCCCCCACCATAGTGTCCTGTGGGGCCAGCTGAGCTGCGGAATGATTCAGTAGCATGCATGGGGCGGTGAGCAAAAATCCATTATATTATAGAACACATTGAAATCCCAAAAGAATGAGCTAGAGTAATTCATCCACAAAAATTATGTTGGCTTCGCATGTTCAAGAAGCTAAGATGAACAAATGCAAACAATCAGACATAATCATGGCATCCAGGGCCAGCAATTTCCACTGTGGCACGTCCAGCCCAAGTTTCACAAACTGTGAACCAGCAGGCCTGGTGCACGCAAATGTAGAGTCAATGCACCATGAGCACCTGGCATGGTAGGATGAAAAATGAAACATGAACATGTATGTGGCTGGCCAGTCCATGGCAGCTGAACAACTTGAAATGATTTTCATCCGTGCTCTCTTGTCAAAATTGGTCGCCATGCATGACCTGTGTCCTATGTCACCGGCAACTTCAAGAGAGATGGGTCTCCAAACAAAAATAAGTTGTGCTTTCGAACAGGCAAAGACCGGTCTGATACCCATGCTATCAAAGCAGTTCATCGAAATCTACACCCCTGAAGCTGCACCCAACATCATCTTAAAAGAAATCATTCTATACATCAGAATCATCAGAGTCGCTGGGTGCAACACGGACTTGCGCCAAGTTCACAAACTGCTCTTGGTGAGATGGGCAGAATCGCCTGCAATGATGCTGAGTGATACGGATGCCTGTCTTGAACTTGTAGTACTCCCGCATCCGAATTCCCAGGCGTTTCATGCTCTTGGGGACCGTCACATCATAAAGGACATCCTGCATAAAAGCCGGAAACAAAATATACATATATAAGACCCATAAAGCTATTTTGTTTCTGCAACCTGTGGATCATGCATGTGTACATGTCATGCATGATGTTGGCGTCTAAGCCTACCAGCAAACCATGCTGATCAAGATCAAAAAACATGCAAATCAGATCCAAATGGACAGGATGACATTCAGTCCTTCTTCGTGAAGGCATGGTTGGACCTGGAACCAATGAGGTGGATGACGTTTTGCTTGCTTGTGTTCATCTCATTGGCTATTGTTGTCTCCAACTCCAAATTGTTCAGCACCGTTGCTGCCCGAAGCGGCTGGTCAGTGGGCCAAGAGAAGCCACAGATCCGACGGCCAGTGAGGGCAAGCAACTGAAAATACAAATGCCGGCTAGTCAAGCGGTACTGCACGTTGAGAACCTGCAGTGCGCTGCGAACAGAATGCAATATTGATGTTAAAGATACTCACTCACAAACGTTGTTTTTGCCTGCATGCACTTCCATGGATGTTATATAGCATGCTCCGACTTTTTGCATGCAAGAGGCTGTGGGTCCTTTGGGCATTCGTTTCACCACACAGTCGCATTCACCACGTCTTTCGTACAACATCAGAGACAGGTCATCTCGTGCTTCTTTGAGTTTGAACGGGTACGAAGCACCAACACACGTCAGATACAGGACCATATGGTCACGTTCACCAATCCTCTGCACCTGTCTCAGTGGAAGTCCACGCCAGCTATGATCACCTGGCGGTGGCAACGTGAGAGTATCCATGGTGGCACCGGGAGCAATGATGATGTAGTCATAGACGCATTCCTCAACGGCATCTGCCATGGCTGCAAAACAAAGGATGAACAACCGCAAATGTGCCAGAACCTTTAAGTTTGAGAACTCAATGGACTGCGAGCAAAGCCACGCAGTTCATGACAGCGAGCACAGCCCTGCATGTCTTCCTCGCAATTTACAATGTAAGTTGCAAACCTGAGCCCCGCAAAAAAACGCATCAAAAGCAGTGCATGCAGAGTCCCGTTTTGGTGCAGCTTTCGCGCTCATATCAAAACTGTGTAGCCAGGAGGGTCTGCACTCTATGTAGCACCCACGAAAATGTGATGGCATCACCAAACTTACAAAACTATACCACTACGATGTCCTGGCCCTCTTCTTGGCATGCCCCTGCGCTTTGGGAGCCGCAACAAGTTCCAATGGCTTAGGCTGCTTTACATCCTTTTGCCTAAACAGAACCAACTCATCTCCGGCTTCTAGAGCCTGCGTGTTGATGGCAATCCGGATCTTGTGTTTGTTAGAGATCTCCATGTTCGACTCCTCACTGTCACTAGTGATCCTAACGTTCCAAAACGGCACCACACACCCTGAAGGTGGCAGCAGGAAGATCTTGCACTTCTGCCTGGGCGGCAACCCAAAGACATGACATGATGCTCTGAGATGCTTGGGGTGCATGTTGGCACATGGCATTCACCTGGTACACCAACTGAATTAAACCAAGCTACCCATCGACCTTGTCTTCGCACATGAGAATTGAACCCGTTGGCTGCGGCTTGTTGTCGGAAACGAGCTGCAATTCAACCCGGTTTGTCAAAGGCGCCAGGCAAAGCTGTCCCTTTGCCGACGCTGAGACAGTGAAAACACCCTTGGGCTTGGAGTACATCTCAAGTTTCGCATGAGAGCCATGAAACTTCTTACCTTCTTCAAGAAGCTTCACTATCGCTTGGGCTTTGACCCGGGCAACAGCCATCTCCAAGAGCCACTTCTGAGGATCCTCCACCAGGACCTTGGGCTTCTTCTCTGCCAGTTTCTTCCACTCTGGTCCGTGCAGCAAGTCATCTGCAGTCACCTTGTACACGTGACCGTCATCTGCTTGCAACTCGACGTGGAGCGGATGCATGGCAATGATTGTTCCTTCTTGCTCGTCTGTGGCACGATAGATCCTGTCACCAAGCTGGAACTTTTCCTCAATCTTTGCAGTTCCCTTCAGCTTGCCAGAATCATCGAACTGGCGGGTCCTGCGTCAGGCAAAAGGACTATATATATATATATATGAGAAACCCGGAGGAAAAAAACACCATGCAGAAACAACCATCAAACAAGCAACAGCTGTTATCATCATGGCTGGGTTCAACTCGCCGGTGGAGTCTTGTACATGAGAAATGGCACATGAAAACTGATCACAGAACATCAACACAAATTTCAACTCGTGTCATGGGGCATGCTTTGGCGGCCGAAGACCCCGCCGGGGCCATGGTCTGCGACTGGGCCCATGGAGATGGAACTGTGACTTTGGACAAGCCCTGCCAATACTCATGGCATTGAAACGCAGCATCTTCTAAAGTCTCAGCTTTCAAGAAGAGGGCGTGAGGTTCCTTCGGCTTCTTGCCTAAGATCAGCACCGCAGCTTTCACTTCAAAGACACCATGGCCTTGCAACCGCTGGTATGAGGTCAAGTCCGTGAACTTTGCACCATGAGCCTTCAGCTTGACCAGCATGGACTCGAATTTCAGGATCTTGGCGAACAAGTCTTTGGAAGTCAAACTTTTGCGGAGATCACTTAGGGAAAGCAATTTCTCCTGGTGGCACAGCATGGTCTTCAAACACGCTTGGCGCCAGAGCATGAGTTGCTCCTGGTCGCGGTGCTTCACTTCCATCGAAAGGCAATCCCACAGCTCAATGCCCAACGATCTGCCAGAGCAACCGTTTGTTCTCACAAAGTTTTCTGTGAGCTCCATCAAGTCTCCAGAGCATCCAAACCGCATGATAAACTTCATCAAATGCGGTACTACGCCCGGGTTGGGTGGCTGCGACCTCAAGATGACTGGAGCGATGTCTTCATACTTGGCGCATGTGCCATCACTTCGAACGAAAGCCTTGATTCGTTTGCTCAGCTGAAGCTCCGTCTCCTGAAGGTTAATTTGACAGATGCTGTTCTGTGCGGACTGCGCAAGGGAAACAAAGCTTGGAAAGCAGTTGGCGATCTCAGCAGAAACAACGTCCCACTCTACCCCTTTCTCCACGCTTGCCGCGTAGACAGGGTCGTGCTGACGTAACTGATCAACGCTGAGACGGCCATCCCCGTGCTTGCAGCTGTAGTACCACAAGCGAAGGACCATGTTGCTGTGGCTTCCGCTGATCGAGGCATACTTCAAGATGTCATTGACAGGCGGCAGCCTCAGCAACACAAATGCAAAAAAAAATATGTTATATATTGTGATGGTTACGGCCGATCCCTTTATAGAAACAATATCGCAAGCAAGGAACAGATCCTTGGATGAAGCTGCCAGCTTTTGATTGAACTCTCGAGTGGTGTCACCTTGAGCTCCCATGGGGATCTCAACAGCCATGTATCTTCCGGCAGAAGGCACAAAGCCCATGTCATGGAAGCGATCCACCAGGCTGTGGACGTGCTCAGGGTCGACGCCGAACCCGTCACGGTTGCCTTCGTGACACCCGATGAGCTTGGAATGCACCTGTAAATGGTACATGTAGCCATGCTCCTTGAGCAGCGCGTAGGCGACTTCCATGGAACTCAAAAGCCCTTTCTGAGTTGCACCGTCCAAAACCTCCTTGAACTTGGCCTTGAAGGCAGCATCCATGGCGGTATATACAGAAAGGCTGAACGAAGTGAAGTCAAAAGAACGTGTTTCTAATTATACTCCATGTAGCATGCCTTCACGAATGTTTCTGGCAAAAAATACATATATCATTTTAACATGTTCAAAGACATCGCGGTTTGAAGCTGATCCCTGCGAGCCGGCCCGCAAAGGATATACGGCGAGCAGAGCCACGCCAGCACCAAGTGAAGTGGCCAAAGCTGAAATATAGTTCGCATCACAAGTGCATATAGTGAAACTCTAATAATCTTGCAGGATAGATCAGGCGTGGAAGGTGGCGAACAAAACGCCTAGTGCACCTCGGTGAAGATCTCCTCCACAAGCTATATAGTCATGGCTGGCCTGGGCAGTGCAGAAAATGAATGCAAAAAGCCTTACGTATGTGCCAAATCAGTGGGAATGAACAATGATGAAAAAACAAACATGACCTGACCCATGAAAGAATCAGATTTCCCAAGCCGTTCCCAGTGAATAATATGGTCATTGAAATTCAAGCAATCAAAAAAATGCAAAATGCAACCCATTTGATTGAAAACGTCTCTGCAGAGCAAAGGTCTGCATTCATAAAAATTAAGTGGGCAGCACGCCTTCTCATTCCAATTGATTCTTACAAGGTCTGGAATCAAAACAGCGTCAGCCAGCAAAACAGCCTGGGCACCCGCACCAAAATCGTAAAACAACAAACCTTCAAAACATGTCATGCACTTATATGCAAAGGAGTGTTGAACCAAAAACGGCGAATGAAACAATCAAATGATTCCACTTGCAAACCTGCGGCAACCATTGAGAAAAAACGTGGCATGCCATGCATGCCCCTCTTCACAAGGAAAAAACTCTTCATGCATCATGGAGCATGCATGGCAACCTCAAAATAAAACAGCAAATGCGCTATATATGTCGCATTTACCGGATATAAAAGAAAGATGCCAAAAGGTTGATTTGTGGACGACTATTTGGTTTGAGTTGTTTCTCCATGACAAACAAAGAAAACAATAATCGAACAAATCAAAGCTCGAAGCCACGCAGGCCGACACATGCCTCTGAAAATCAAGGCTCACATCTCACAAACAAAGCTTGCAAGGCCCAAACTGACAAGGTTATGTATGTTGTTTTAGCTCAAAAAATATCTTCCTATAAGTAGGCTAAGTGACTTAGGCTCCATGCTCCGTAAGTGACTTAGCCCACTTAGAACTAAGTAGGTTAACCTACTTAGGCGACTTAGCTATAAGTCCGCTAAGTAGCCTAAGTCAATTAGCCATAAGTGGGCTAAGTTGCCGCGTAAATTTATATCTACTTACATAAAATGCTATCTACATAGGCTAAGTGCTATGTACTTAGCTAAGTGGACTATGTGTCACCAATGACTTAGTCAACTTATATGTAGACTTAGGCTACATATAAGTATACTTAATGGACTTACTAAGTACATTACTAAGTACGCTAAATATCATAAGTACTTACTAACCAGGCTGATTCTCCAAGGAAGAAGTCGCTGGGGATGAGCGAGCTTGGCTGCGCGGACGGCTGCGGACGGGAAAGGGGTGCGGAGAATTGCGCGGACGGCTGCGGACAGCGTGGGTGCAAGGGAGTGGCTGGAAATGGGTGGGGAGAAGAAGCCGCTGGAGATCAGCGAGCGTGGCTGCGCGCACGGCTGCGGACGGGAAATGGGTGAGGAGAATTGTGCGGACGGCTGCGGACGGCGTGGGTGCCAGGGAGTGGCTGGAAATGGGTGGGGAGAAGAAGCCGCTGGTGATGAGCGAGCTTGGCTGCGCGGACGGCTGCGGACGGGAAATGGGTGCGGAGAATTGCGCGGACGGAAATGGGTGGGGAGAAGAATAAGCTGGTGATGAGCGAGCTTGGCTGCGTTTGCGGACGGGAAATGGGTGCGGAGAATTGCGCGGACGGCTGCGGACGGCGTGGGTGTCAGTGTAAGGGAGTGGCTGGAAATGGGTGGGGATCGCGCTGGTGATGAGCGAGCTTGGCTGCGCGGACGGCTGCGGACGGGAAATGGGTGGATATAGAATTGCGCGGACGGCTGCGGACGGCGTGGGTGCAAGTGAGTGGATGGAAATGGGTGGGGAGAAGAAGCCGCTGGTGATGAGCGAGCTTGGCTGCGCGGACGGCTGCGGACGGCAAATGGGCCAGAATTGCGCGGACGGTTGCGGATGGCGAGGGTGCGAGGGAGTGGCTGGAAATGGGTGGGGAGAAGAA